CGAGCAAATTTCATTGGTACTCTGAAGACAAAACGTCAGTGTTTGTCGCAACATATTCCCAATTAAAAATTTTATGCCTATGTATTATCCTGTCTCTGACAAGATAACAACAATTATTAAGTCACATTCCGTAAAAATAACAAAAACCATAGAAAAAGTTACTTTTAATTAAATAGCAACACTAATAATGTTTAATCATATTTTAAATAATACGCCTTTCTTAATTCTACCTTATCATAACTTCAGTGAAAAGTTACCTTGCCTGTTTAACAATAATACTGTTATATATAAACTCTCTAATAAACTTTACGCGTAATCATGTAATTCTGAGAATAACTCTCTAGGACTGGTTTACAAAATAGCGTGTAACTGTGGTAAATATTAAATGGGAGAAATATGGAACACTGTCACTCAGAGATCAGAGACCCACTTGCGAAACTAGAGAATATGGGTGATGGGACAGCAGGAGCAAACCTGACAAAGAAGCACCCTGGAAATAAACAAAGTGAAGGAACGTTTAGGAAAGATCACTGCGATTGTGTAGTGCAAGGCAAAGCAACGAAACGCTCCCCACCCCACAGGGTCAAGGTGTACTGGTATCATCAATGAAATTGGCTGAACAGGTGCGTCACGAAAGCATATCACAATGCAACAAAGGATATGAACTCTGCACGGACTGAATGAATCTAGTCGCCCAGAAACTGCTGACAAAGAAAAGTTCTTGTCACTACCTACCTCCAACCTTTCAGAAGGTTAAAGAAGCACCGGGCGTAACGTCGATAATAGTCAGTCATCCAGTTGCGTTGCGTTCCATATTTTGTGCGGCTTTTCAACTCAGTGAAGCACTTTCTTTAATAATATTCAAGATTACTTGTTCATTTTCCTCATTACTCATTTTGCCAAAAAGAATGGTCTGGTTCCGTGGGGAGATGTTTAAAGTTTAGACACCTTTCCCTCATGGGGATGCAGCTATGGAATGTCATACTCATACCGGCTCGGTCGAAGCTAGGTTTCAAAAAGCCGTGCAGGCTGATGTGGAACAAAGGGCAAACTGCGAAAAGTCATCGATCAGAATTTGTATCATTCATACCTTCCAGCAGCTGGTAATATAAGACAATAATATGCTGTTAATTACAGTTTTGTACTCCATTTAAGACTTCAGACTTCATTCAGGACACATAAACGTAGTTTGGTGGATTCGCTTATGAGAAACTAGTGTCTCGCCGACAGTTAAGCTGTTTCTCGTACAAAGGCGCACAATGAAATCCGCTGTCGATGATGTATCAACAAATGTAATAATATAAATCTTCCACTGATGTTGAAGAATATCAACGTGATACAAACGAATAAAAAAAATACGGTCGCTATACACTCTGATAGGCGTACCCAAGGGAGGTCTAAATTACGTGATCCAAATAATGATCATACTTGAGAAGGGAAGAAGTTGCAAGAAGTAGGTGGTGTCATGTTACATGAATATTAGCAAGCTAAGCAGACTCCGAAAACCTGATAAGGGACCAGAGAATATGGAAGAAA